TCATATATTCTATGTCTTTTCATATCTATCTCATTTCATTCATATCTGTGTATATATCTATCTCAGTTCAATCATATCTATTTGTGTATATATATATATATATATATATATATATATATCGATCTCAGTCCATTCATATCTAAGACTCTTCATGTCTATCTGTCTGTTTATATCTATCTATCCATCTATCACAGTCTGCTCATATCTATCCATATAAGTCTGCTCATAGCTATATATCTATCTATATCTATATATATATATATATATCGTCTGACTATATTAAAGGCATACATATAGGCACACATACAGAGAGATCATTATATTCAACAAATTTATCAATACTTATGTACATTCACTATATTCATTTCTGTGTGTGTAAAGAGGGAAAAAATGAATTCCAATTCATTGTTTTTTTCATGCATTTTTAGACAGACTATTGTTCTTGATATTTAGTTTTTGTTTTTTTTCATCGTTGTTTTGTTTTGTATGGCACATAAAGTCAATAGGTTTTTCGCAGCTTTTCAAAGTTTTTTGCCTTTTTTTCACATCGGCATTGTACTTCATATTTCCGCTGTGTCAAAACGAAAAAGAATTCAACGAGACACACGCATGTTCATAGGACAGAATAGTGTCAATCAATAGCATCGAGAGAAGAATCGCCAAGCAACAACAAGGGAGCAACTTAAACACAAGGCAAAAAAGAACTACAAATATCATTTAGGCACTGTAAACTCTTTCAAAAGGATAGGTAGATAGATAGATATGAACAGACTGAGATAGCCAGATAGAAATATAGATAGATATGTACAGACTGAGATAGATAGATAAAGACACTGGGATAGATATGAACAGACTGAGATAGTCAGATAGAAATATAGATATGCACAGACCGAGATAAATAGATAAAGACACTGATATATATATATATATATATATATATATATGTGTGTGTGTGTGTGTGTGTGTGTGTGTAAGATAGATAGACAGATAGAAACTGAGATAGATGCGAACAGACTGAGATAGATATTTAAAAACTGAGGTATATATATATATATATATATATATATATATATATATATATATATATATATATATATATATATATAGAGATAGATAGATAGATAGATAGATAGATAGATAGATAGATAGAATCAAATCACGTTATTTACATCCATGCTATTTATCCGGATATGCTTATATATGCATGCAGTCAATAGTGACAGGTCGCTCTTATCTGGAGGGTAATGTCATTGAATGACAATTGACAATGAATCGTTTTTTTTTTATTGAATTGCAATGGCGTGACGTTAGTAAGAGTTGATTTCTGAGTCAATCAATCTATCTGTCACAACGTTAGAGGGAGAAGACATTTTTTAAGGAAATATAAAAAACGAATTTACTTGTAGTACTGAAGTTTAAGACCAGTTTCGGCTGCGTTCTACTTTGCTTTTTACCACGTTCCCACCATTATAACATTGTATTTCGACAACTGTACGGACCTGGATGCATTGATAAAGCTATTGTTTACTTAGCACTGATCAGGAGCGCTTGTTGTCTGGCGTTGGTTGACAGGCTTGTTTCGCAGACTGTTTTCTAAATAGTTCGATCTTGAAGATTTGTGTAAGTCGAAACTGACAGGATAAATAACTATTTGCACGAACTAGGTGAAAACAATAAAGTATTGCGCTAGAACTTTGAAAATTATTTAGAAGATTTTTGTTACTCATTTCACCCCAAGCAAGGCAATAAATCTACTAAGACGCAAGTTTGAGTTCGGGAAAAGATGAGAAAAAAGAAAAAAATATTATTAAGGACGAAGAATAATAAAGAACAGGAATTAAAAAAAGACAGAAGATAATGATTGAATCTGCATTTAAATTTTTGAAGATCAAAGTTAACTGGGAAACAGGAAGCCGGAAGATAGTTTCACAAGCGGAAGTGGGATAGAAAAAACTGTTAGAATAGAACTTACTTTCAAATTCAGTCGAAAAGAGGAAAGCTCACCAGAACAATTACCATGAAGATAATTATAGAAAAGGCGCCGGAAAGCTATGTTACGGCGGTGGGAAAGTGATTGAAACCGAGATGCCAGGTTAGAACTAATAACATTGCAGATTTATCAGTATTTTATCAAGAATCTCTAAATATATAGCAGAAGCACCAGAACAGATGAGACAGTAATATTCAATGCATGGACTAATTGTAGAATTATAAATGTGTATGAAGTAAAGTAAGCGGAAGTTAACTGTTTTAAATCAAAAGATCAAATGACAAAAATAAACACTACGCAAAGGCTCGCAAAGACTTTCTGTTTGAAACATTTTAAATTTTCAAATTAATCAAAATTAAGAATAGCCAATGAAATCAGGTCCCGCCACTAAATAAACATAGACTTCTGGTGTCTACACGAAGCCATACAAACCAGACATCCATTCAACTCAGCAGAAAGACACAAGTAAAAGAGACACAAGTCAAATTCGTCGTCCTGTCTTTCTCAGCAAGGCAACAACGGGCTATCTTCGATTTTGGCCCCCAACTCCACGTTCTCCCTTTCTCAATGAAAGACTATTATGTTCATTTCCTTTTCAGTCGGAGAGAATAAATTTCTAAATACAAACTTCTATTTCGTGATAGTAGTTTCAGTTTAGAAATGGCACATCTTACGTTATATAAATATTGCCATTTTATTTGAACACGAAGCAACCTTTTCTCTCATTTTTTATTCAACAAACGGTGGCTCATGGAATCTTTCCCCAACAAAGATACTGACGAGAAAAATTGTTTAGCCTGATACAGTGAGCCAACTTTTCTAGCAGCAAACGTATCAATTGATTCAATTATAATCTTTCTACTTCATGTCAGCGAGGAACGTTAGCCCGAGAAGTTTCAATGTGTCAATCTCCTGGAGGTTAGCATCAGCCATTCCGACTAAAGGCAAAAAAAAAAAAAAAAAAAAATTATCTCAGACGATTAAAAGAGAGCAGTAAATGTTTATAAATTTATGAATGAAAAATTGTTTTCAAATTTATTAGTTTATAAATTGGTAAATGATAAAAATTGCGTTGAATTAGTTTGAATTGCACTAGTTTTTAGAATATTGTAAATATAAAATTATTCAAATCAAATCTAGTACTAATAACAGTATAATAACAGTTTTAGATTGTTATTTAATAAATATTTTTTCTTGATAAAATACACAGAATAATCTGCAATGTTATTAGTTCTAAATTGGCATCTCGGTTTCAATCACTTTCCCACCGCGTTTCCGGTGCCTTTTCTATAGTTATTTTCATGGTAATTGTTCTGATGAGCTTTCCTCTTTGATACCTGGACTTTATGAATTTAAAAAAAAAAAGAAAAAGAGGTATGATGTATAAAAAAAAAAAGAGCCGCTCAAATAGACAAAATATATAAATTCACTTTCATACGTCTAGGTTTTATTAAAATTCCAAACATCGATTTTTGAAACAATTAACATTGCCGAGGAGTGAAGGTTGTTAAAATAAAAGCGATGTCAATGGGAAAACTGTTCTTTTGACACTCCGTTTCTTTGGAAAACACGAAGGTCTAAGTATGTTACTAATTGCATATAATAATATGACATAACAGTATCTTGATTTAACACGGAAAACCAGTCCTTTTTACACACTTTTTTCTTTTTCCTTTTTTCTCTTACGTTAGCGTTGCCACAGTTATCTTATTCTCTAGTTTGTTTATAATTTTATACATCGTTCAATATGGATCATAAGCCCCTGCGGTTCTCTCTGAAAGCTTATAGCTTAAGTCTCGGAAATATCCAGCTGCTAGGAAATTATAAAACTATATTTACATAAATATTGAATATAAGATTCTCTGCCCCAACGCCATTAAAAGTCAATAAGAGTTTACAGACTACTTAAATGACAAAGCTCCTTTAAACGTAGAAAAATATAAATATCTGAGTAAATTAAGTCATTTATGTTTCATTCACTCCCAACATAATTTAATTCATCCTTGAGTGAGTCATTCACCAGTTTAAGAAGCATTGTTCAATATGACTGATCATTTTATTTTCCTCTCGCTCCATCGGTCCGACCATCTAGGACGAGCTGCGCATGACAGAAGAAAATTTTAAATTTATCAAAGATGCCATCATTTTTCTTCATGACGTGATTTGTAGTGAAGTGGAGCTAAAATTCAAAACTGAACCTGAAACTATTATAGCGTTCATTTTCATTTTTATTTTTTAATAGTTATGAAGATGTTTCAAAGGTTAAACTTTAAAATGTGAACAGCAGTGAGAAATTAGAATCGTTTGTAACGAGAATACAAGGTCTCGGTTCAGTTATGTTCGGGGAATATCTAAAAAAATTCTCATTCCATAAATTCTCGTCGTTTGTTGTCTTGCTCATTTCGAATGTAATTAAAAAAAAAAGAGGGATGATGTAAAAAAAAGACAAGAAAAAAGAAGCAAATAAATAAAGAATACATCGAAGGCTCCTGTTGTCTTGCGCATTCGTTCCTTTGAAGAACTCTTATAAAGCATGAAATTATTTCTCTTTCATATAGACGATCCTTGACCCGGCCTCTCCGACTCTAACGCCTCATCGCACAAGAGATATAGACCCAGATGGAACCCCCCACCTTGTTATGTGCGCATGCCCATATACGCAGCTCACTCATTATTAACGTCTCTGTGCCAATCTTTCTCGGTCTTGAGCTCAAGAGAACATTTATTGCTGAAAACTGCTCCATCTTTTATGGCATTCCAATGTGCGTATGATTTACTTCGGCGGGATGATGCTTATTAAATGAAAGGCACATAAAACAGATACACGGTTATATGACAAATGATGTATGCACGGTGTACACGCATTTCTCCTCGTAAGCGTCTCTCTCTTAACTTTACAATGGCATGTGTACGGAAATGAATTCATACACACATCTATTCTATATTTATCGAATTTACTAAGCTTAGCTTAATTTGGGCAGAATCTACAAGCATGCATTGCCCAGTGAGG